ACCTGCCAAGGTGGATTCTTGCATCCATCACCCCAACATCTACATTAGGTATTTCTCCTAATGCTATCCCTCCCTTAGCCCACTCCTCTGCTACCCTCCCCTAGTCCCCCACTCCCGGGCAGGCCCCAGTGTGTGATGTTCCCCTCCCCACGTCCATGTGTTCTCATTGTTCAACACCAACCTATGAGTGAAAACATGCAGTGTTTGGTTTTCTGTTCTTGTGTCAGTTCGCTGAGCATGATGATTTCCAGCTTCATCCATGTCCCTGCAAAGGACATGAGCTCAGCTGCTTTTTATAGAAACTGCCCAGTGTATATTCCTAATCAGTCACTTATTCATTCATAGCTTACTCAAAACATTTTCTTTTTTAACAAAGTGGTATTTCTAGGAAAGGTTAGCCGTTTTTTAAATTCTCTTCTGTAGTATTAAATTTCCCAGAAGTGCCTACAATTCTCACATTAAATTGTCAGACACAGATTAGTTTTCTCTGAAATCTCTCACTTCTAGAGTTCAACTGACTCTGAATAAAAAGAGACCAACCAAGCGGTGAGGCTATTTGCTGAATAAATGAAGGTGTCTCCTCACAAAGTAAAATTCTTAGTCTTCTTATAGTGATTTTTACTCAGTCACAGGAATGGTCATAGCTTTAACTTCTCACACCAATCCTATTGTCCATTCCATCTCTGAGTTTAGTTGTGGGCATTTGTCTACCAAGGGACCGCTCCATAAATAATCCAATCCTAAACAGGCATACTGATGGTCCCCCAACTATTTGCTCTCATAGAGCATGTAGGCGCACTTGTTCTCAAACATAGGTTTTTGAAATAATGTAATTTTAAGTAAAATGTGTTCCTAACAAATATGTTCTACACACATCTAAAACATTTAAAGGCAGTCTGCCATCAGATCTTATACCAAGAAAAGGGAAGTTAAATTTCAGTTATCTCTATTAGATTAGAGTCACATTAAATGTGGCTTTCAGACATCTAGTATCTGTCGATTACTCATTTAAGTTTTAACCAAATAGATGGTTACGTTCAGGATCTATTATCCATATGTTTACTAATCATGCTTTCTTGTTACCTTTCAAAGTAATCACTACTTTAAAAATTTTTACCTTTGCTGTATTTGTATTATATTTATCATGTTTGAGCATAATTTTCTTCTCGAACTTCGATTCTTTCATGAGTTCTTTAACATAAAATTTCCTTCAATTTTATGTGTATTCTAGTAATTTTTGGGTTTCTGAGACAGCCAAGTATAAAGGGGGAAGGTGCCTGGAGAATCTCCAGCTGGCCTGTGTACTGGGAGAAGAAGGTGGGTCCACAGAAGTTTATGCCATTTGCAAGGGCAAGAAGCCTGGCCTCTCCTGTTCCTGGGTGCTAACTGGGAATTCAATCTGTGAGGAGAAAAACCTGCTAGCAGGACTCTCACTTTGCTAGGAGTCCTTGTTTCCCTTTTTTTCCCACAATAAACCCTGCCTTTCTCACCCTTCAAAGTGTCTGTGAGCCTCATCTTTCTTGGTTGTGTGACAAGAACCCGAATTTTCCTACAACATTTCTTCTTTGAAATAGCTTACCCATATTGTCGCTATTTTAAAGATAATGCATTTTCCTTATGTGACTGCCTTTATTAATATTTTTCTTTTTCTTCCAAAATTTTACTATAATGTGCCTAGTTGTGGATTTCTGTTTATTGATTTTCCTTGCATTTTGCAAGCCTTTTATTTTTTTTTTTAATCCTACAGTTCAATCTTTTGTAAATTTTGAAAAAAAAAAAAAAGGCAGTATTTCTCCTAGTATTATAACTTATCTTTTTTCTTTCTTCTTAAACTCTAATTACAAGTATATTAGACTTTCACACCATCTTAACTTGTACTTGATTGTAATTTCTGTATTTCTTACATTCTGTTTTCCTCGAATGGCTTCACCTGCCTTGCCGTTTACTAATATTGGTTCTTGTCTAATAATTAATTAAATTTTTAATTTTAATTATAGCATTTTCTATTTTAGAATTTTTATTATATACCTGTATTAGTCCATTCTCACACTGCTAAAAAAGACATACCTGAGACTGAATAATTTATAAAGGAAAGAGGTTTAATTGACTCACAGTTCCACATGGCTGGGGAAGCTTCATAATCATGGTGGAAGGTGAATGAGAAGCAAAGTCACACATGGTGCAGGCAAGAGAGCTTGTGCAGGGGAACTTCCATGTATAAACCCATCAAATCTCCTGTGACTTATTTACTACTATGAGAACAGTATGGGAAAACTGCTCCCATTATTTAATTATATCCACATGGCCCTGCCTCTGACACATGGGGAATATTAAAATTTAAGGTGAGATTTGGTTGTGGATGCAGCCAAACCATATCAATATCTTTAGAAACACTCACATTTTCTTTTAGTTTGGTTCAAATTTTGCTACTTTGCTGGAACATAATTAGCATATCTATTTTAAACATTTCAATCTGATAATACTCAAATTCAAATCACTCCTGTGCCTCTTTTCCACAATACATTTTTATCTCTGTTTTTACTCACATGGTTTTGTTTTCTAGATGCCTTTTGATGTTGTTATTATTATTGTTTTGTTTTGTTTAAATTGGCTATCAGCCATCACAGTTAGATTTTGTATAAACACTGAACTGTGTCTTCTTCCTCCTGTGAAAGTTAGGTTTTCTTCTGTCAGTAATATAAAACAGAAGCAGAGTACTTTAATCCTGTAAAACACTGGTTTTCATTCTTTGTCACTATTAGTGTTTCAGTTTTCCCTTCTATTTTGTGAGTTCCGGATTCTCAACTGAAATCCTAGGGTATCTACCACACCATTCCACACTGGTATTAAATTCCAACCTCTTCTCAGCAGAGTACTTTTGGACATCTTATCTCAGCTCTTTAGCCTTTCTCCTTCTACATTACAATGGACTATTAGAGTCCAATTCTGATAATGTTAAAATTAGCAGCAGATAATTGCCTGAAGGAGATGGAGGCTGCATGTAGATTTTTAGGTCATTCCCATGATTTTCTCTTTTCTTCACATGCTCTCCCTTTTCCAGCCACTTTGACTAACCCAGTCTTCAGCTTTTGTGTTCCTCTGGACAGTGTGACTGCAACATTCTTTCAATACCTACTTTACCCCAGTAGGAATTGATAAGTGATTTCAGGAAAAATGCTGTGCTAAAGATGATGTGCACCTGCTTGTGATTCCATTCAGTCAGCACTAACACTCCCTCAAATGTTTCCACTGTTGGTTTCTCATAAATCCCTTTAAACAAGTATTTCTACATATCATCTTGATTTCACACGTGTTTACAGTAAGACAGATTCTCCGTCATGGGCAAACTAAACATTTCTGGGCATCTTCACTAGCTTTTCTGTCACAGCCAAACTATCCATTTGGGGAATCTTCATTAGCCACTATATCTCATTATAGCAGATCTCTAATTTCTGGTTTTTTAATGCCATAATTATTTAAAGTAAGAAAATTTCTAGCCTTACATTTTCCATCATTAATTTGTTTGTAAGTTGTACAATGACTTTATTTTTCTTTTTAAGTGTTCTTGTACTTTTTTGATTCATTTCAATATTCTATCCCTTATAGTTTAAAAAATTATTTGTTTTGTTTCTTGCATGATGTTCAATGATATCAATAGTTTTACCTTTCCCAAATTTTATCTGAATTTGTATTTTAAAAATATAACTCTCTTATGTTCTTACATTTTTCTTATTAGGACTGTAGAAGTGGTGGTGATTTGAAATTTTTTCTCGGTCATAAGAAATTGATTTACTTTACTTGGCCAATCTGTGTCTTTCATATACTAAGAAACATTGCTCATGAAATGATATCCCTGTTTTTGTAAGGCACAGGTGTTCTCTGGAAAACTGTAGGCAATTTTCTGTTAATTTATTTGATTCTATGAGAACAAAGATGAACTAGGTACCCAACCAGGGGTATCTAATTTTAAGAGTGTTTTCCAAATGTTATCTATAAATTCATTTAAATTTTTGTTCCATTTACAGCCCACTAGATTGTAAAATATGATTTTCCCTGTTAGAAGGTAAACTTTTCTATGAGATTGTGCAATATTTCTAGGTAAATTTATTTAGTTCTTAATGGCTAAAGTGATATCTAGGCCGTTTGTTTATAATTCAATAAGCATTTTCTCTCTCTTCACTTCAGAGTCTCAATACTTTCCAGAGGCCTGTTTTTCTGATGCAGATGCCAAATTAAAGAAAATACATTTTATATTTATACATACATACATATGCACACAAAATATATAGGTATATATTCACCCTATATTATGTATAAATATCTACAATATATAATGTATATATTTTCTGTAAATATATTTATATGTATTTGTATTTATGTGTAAATAATTTTTATATGCATCATATGCTCTTATACCTATTTCATCTTTTTTAACCTACATGAACCACTGCTATTTCTACAAATTGATATTCCTGATGAGTAAAATGGGTTTAGGGTTTTTATTCTATATCCATTTTGTATTCTGACTGCATGCCTGCACTCCTCCTAAATGAATGAGTTTTGATCCTTTGAAATTGCCTTCATTCCTTCTTCACCATACCTTACTGTAAACAGAGCAGATAAGCCTGGTGTGAGCTTCTTCCATTTCCTCTGACAATATCTTCCAAACTGTACCACATTTAGCCCTTATCTTCTGAAACTTACGGGATTCAATTGATCTTTTACTAGTTTCAGCACATGAAATATTTTGTTTTGATTCTTCGTAGTTGTGATAAAAATGATTACAGAATAATTTTAAAATATTTTCATGGACCCAAAACTTTTTAAAATCCCATAAATACTTTAAACTTCTATTTAATGTTAGGTTATATGCCATGACATATGCTAATAACAAAATAGTAAACAGTGTAATAATTTTTATTGTACAATAGACATTTATATTTTAGAACTAATAATTATAAAAATTATTTATAAAAATAATCCTAAATATGTTTTCTTTCTTGCTACAGTTTTCTTGATTTTGCTTGTGAGGAAAGCCAATTGACTAAGTTTTCCCAGAACTGTTAGTGTTCACTGATAAAGAAGGAAATGAGGTCAGAAGTCAAAATTTTCACTTCTGCTCAAATATATATTGCAAGTACCACAGAAAATTGTAACAATACATGCAAGACAGACTGGTTTTCAACATACAGAGAGCCCAGGCAAGAAGGGTTGAGTACTGAAGATCTACAGAGGTCAGACTGGGAGCACCACTATAGGAAGTTTGAATCTATCCACGCAGCTCTTTCCACCCACATCCCAGGCTCATCACTTCTTCCTGTTCCAAGCTGGCTTATCCATACACGGAATTCCAGGCTGCTCCATATATATTAATCCTTGCCCAGCTGTTTCACGAGGCATCTCCACAAGCCAAGCCACGACTCAAATTCTGTACAGAAAGTTGCCGTTGCTGTCAAAGAGCCCCTGCCCGCTCTGCGCTACTTTGCTGCGAAGTTACCCGCTCCCTCGCCTTCAACTCCGCCAGCTTCTGATCACTTGGCAGCCCACCATGGCCAGTCCTTCTGGTGCCCTCACAATCACTGGAGTACTTCTGCAGCTCTGCCTGATGACCCAGGGTTGCAAAATCTCTCTTCCAGGCCCTGGATTCCTTCATTCCTTCCCTTCCATCTCCTTGGTGTATTTTCCCTGTGAGTATTTGAATCTATTGCTTTCAAAGTGGTGCTGTTATTTCGGGTCTTTGGACGAGGCTTCATGCCCTGGCATAAGCAAAGATCCTAATACAGAGTGGCCCGCAGGGAGCAGTTTCGAGGCGTTCCCAGAGCCCTGGAGCTGCGGGAGCTAGGCAAGCCCAGCTTTCTTAAGGACTTTTTTTTTTAAATCCTGCTTCAGCTTCTGTTCCAATGTGGGTACAAACTTGCTTTTTAAACTTCTGCGCCTGGCACGGTGGCTCACACTGTAATCCCAGCACTTTGGGAGGCCGAGACGGGTGGATCACCTGAGGTCAGGAGTTTGAGACCAGGCTGGCCAATATGGTGAAGCAGCATCTCTACTAAAAATACAAAAAATTAGTCGTGCGTTGTGGCGGGTGCCTGTAATCCCAACTACTCAGGAGGCTGAGGCGGGAGATTCGTTTGAACCCAAGAGGTAGAGGTTTCAGGAGCGGAGATGGTGCCATTGAGACAGCGACACTGGTGGGGGGGGGAGGGGGGAAGCCTCTTTGGATCGCTTCAGTGCATCAGTGCTGACAGCAGAGCCTTCTGCCAGCCTAGGAACTGACCAGGACCAGGCACCTCCATTTGCCTCCAAATTTTCTGGAATCGGATTGCTTTTTTCCAGCGTTGCAGGGTGCTGGGGGAGAGAACCAATGGAGGAAGCCATGCATGGAAGCAGGATGGATGTTTGAAGAGCCTCAGGCTAAGTCATGGAGCGCTTAGCCCACTTCTCTTTGATCACAACCGGGCCATGTTGCCCCCTTAAGGCTGCTCTATACACCCAGAAAGCTAACCCCTAAAACAATAACTACCCTTAACCATGCCGAACTCTCTAAACTGGCAATGACATAGTGAAGGAACTATTAGTCATTAGTGAAGGAACCAGTGGTCCCAGGGTAGCCGAACACCTGGCGCTGGGCCCTGACAAGGGGTAAGAAGGAACTAGAGCTGCTATCTGGCAGGACCCCCAGTGCCAAGGGGACGCAGGGGAGCCAGGTGCTGCTTCAAGCTGAGGGCCAGGGAAAAGCAGTTACCTCTCCACTTCCTGCAGCTCTGGTTCCTCCGGCTCCCAGTGGGAATCAGGGTCAGGTTCCCGGCCAATAGGGCCTAGACCCGCCACCTACTGGGTCTCAAACCTGCAGCAGGCGATGCCAGCACGAATGCGCTCGCCCTTCTAGAGACTCAGGATAACCACCATGTCGACGCAAGCCAGACTTCAGCAGCCAAATTGGGTATATCCTTTGACAGAATGGATTTTAAAAGATATTACATAAGATGTTCTCCCTTTACTTATGCCATCTCTTTAAATTGCACATAAATGTACAAGATTATTCGCCAATAATTACTCAGGCAAAGCTTTGTCAAATCAAATTCAGAAACATGAAATAATGTTTCTGGTTCCATCTCCACTTTCTAATTTATTTGAAAAACGAAGTTATTTCCTCTGTTTTAAGGTTAAATTTGTTGCTCAGTGTTTCTTATTTGTACTCGCTCTTTTCATAATTAATCAAGAGCGCTCTCTGTCTTGCCATATTTAAATTGTAATATTCACAGGAAAAAAAACAAACAACTCCATTAAAAAGTGAGCAAAGGACTTGAACATACCCTTCTCAAAAGAAGATGTTCATGAAGCCAACAAACATACAAAAAAAGCTCAACATTACTAATCATTAGAGAAATGCAAATCAAAACCGCAATGAGATACCATCGCATGCCACTCAGAATGGTGATTATTAAAATGTCAAGAAACAATCAATGCTGGCAAGGTTGGGGAGAAAATGGAACACTTTTACACTGTTGGGAATGTAAATTAATTCAACCATTGTGGAAGACAGTGTGATAATTCCTCAAAGATCTGGAAGCAGAAATATCATCTGACTCAACAATCCTGTTACTGGGCATATACTCAAATATAAATCATTCTGTTATAAAGATACATCTCCATGTATGTTCACTGCAGCACTATTCCCAATAGCAAAGATATGGAACCAGCCCAAATGCTCATCAATGATAAACTGGATAAAGAAAATGTGGTACATATACACCATGGTATACAATGCAGTCATAAAAAGGAATGAGATAGTGGCTTTTGCATGAACATGGATGGAGGCTGAAGCTGTTATTCTCAGCAATTTAGTGCAGGAATAGAAAACCAAACACCATATGTTCTCACTTATAAGTGGGAGCTGAACAATAAGAACACATGGACACATCCAGGGAAATAACACACACTGGGGTCTGTTGGGAGGGGTTGAGAAGGGAAAGCATTGGGAAGAATAGCTAATGGTTCCTGGGCCTAATAGATTGGTGATGAGTTAATCTGTGCAGCAAACTACCATGGCACACATTTACCTATGTAACAACCTGCACATCCTGCACACACACCAGAACTTAAAAGTTGAAGAAATAAAATAAAAATAAATTATATTAATTAATCAGAAATTAGCCAATAAATATGAGTAGAATAGAAATCAAAGCTATAATTTTTTAAGAAAATTTTATTTCTAACTTACATCCATTCAAATGTTATAGTTGTTATGATGAATACAGATTTAAAACATTGAAGACTAAAAATCTGGGTTTGAAATATTTTTTATAAAATATAAAATCTCCAGCTTTGGTTTTGTGTAGTTCTGTGTTATTTTCAAATTTAAAGTGCTATAATGCAGCTGAAAACAACTCACGTTATTTCTTTTTAACTAAAATATGAAGAAGAAATAAAACCGTTAATCTATTTCATTTTGATCCTTTATTTTAGTTAGCACTTTTGCATTTAAACATGTGAATTAAGGTTTTGAAATTACATGGATTTTTTTGCCAAAAGAGAAGTCAGTCTACAAACTATTTTGATGTTAAATGCCAGCAAATCCATTTATTTAGTTAGCAAACATCAAACTTCTAGTGTGAACTCAGGCTATGTTCAAGACTTTAATTAAATGGAAATGTGTTGTCTTAGCTGAGAGAAAGAAAACAAATGGCTATTATATTTTCTAAGCTAGAAGTGCAGTATTTATTGGGTGAAATTTTACACACACACACACTCTTACACCCTTAAATACTAGCAACTGAGTTTAACTCTATTGAATAACTAAATATAGAAATATAAATTATGTGATTTATAAAACTTGGGAAGTAATGATCATTTTTGATCATCAGGATTTAAATGTTTATGAGACAATTCTCAGCTCAGTAGATGCCTTCTTGATTTCCAGGTTACCTTAACAAAAATACTATATTTTAGATCTGAAAAAAAAAAAAACTGGATTTCTCATAAACTCATTATACCTAAGATTTAGGAGTTAAACTCGGTCGGGAGCAGTGGATCACACCTGTAAACCCAGCAGTTTGGGAAGCCGAGGCAGCCAGATAACCTCAAGTCAGGAGTTCTGGATCAGCCTGACCAACATGGTAAAATCCTGTCTCTATTAAAAATACAAAAGTTAGCCAGGCATGTTGGCACGTGCCTATAATCCCATCTACTAAGGTGGTTGAGGCAGGAGAATCACTTAAACCCAGGAGGCAGAGTTTGCAGTGAGCCAAGATTGTGCCATTACACTCCAGCCGGGGCAATAGAGAGAGAGACCATCTCAGAAAAAAAAAAAAAAAAAAAAAAAAAAAGAGTTAAACTCTAGATTATTTTATTACTGTCTAGTAAGTTTAAAAGTTGTGATACATTAAATAGCAAGCTTACATCCAAAAACTTCTTATAAAGATTATTCACTGACAAATTTTGCATAATACTTTGCTATTTTTGCATATACATAAAATTGTTCCTGCTAAGATTCTCTCACCTAACTAGACTGCTTAACTAACAACTGATGTGTACAAGCATAACCCATAACTAATTTCCCTTAAACAAACAATCTTAGGGATCTTTATATGGTTTATTTAATTTGCTAACTGAATAGACTGGTTTGCTGGCATATGAAGGTTGCAGCTTTCTCCTTATTCTACCTAAATATCATTCTACTCTTTATTATCATATTTATACAATATGGCTCAACCCTAAGAAAGTACTTAAAGTCATTTGCTATTTTCCCAGTGCTTTAGATGTGAAGAATGTTAAAAATAAGATGTAGTCCTTTATAGTTAATTATACTTTCATTTTAATTTGAATAAAATAGGCATTCTTGGAAAAATAGGACCATGACATTATAAATATGGGTGTCTTGCTTGTTAGTTCTGAACTTACAGTACAAACAACCATATAATATTAGGAAAGGAAAGGCTTATTGTAAGTTAATGAAATAAGAGAATTTGAAAATACTTATCTGATTTTTACTTTGTTTAGGGTCATCCTAGAGGAAAGGAAAATGTTTAGATATAGAAAGACGATTGAAGTTTCAGGTCCAATTATCTTGTTTCTGAGATTTACAAGAATACTGCCAAATTTATCATTGACTTTATAGAAGAGTTCTGAGCAGAAATTTGACATAGGACAGCTGAAGCAATGAGAGAGGTGAAGCATAAATATCCCCAAACAACCTATTTTCCATATTAAAATATATTTCTTCTAAGATTGGAAAGCTTTAATGAACTCGGAGATGACTGCAAAGTGGCTTACCTGACAGATGAACCAGTAAGTCCATTCCCCCTCTGCAGATAAAAGCTTGAAATTACCCATCTGTCATCTCTCTAGTGGGCGGGGATTATAATGGAAGGCAGCATGCCATCCTAATTACATAACTATCCCAATTCCAATTATATATCATGTAGGGTATAAAATACATTATCTCTCTACAATAAACTGAACATATAACAATGCTCTATTCCTTTTTAGCTTTGATTTCTATTTTTCCATTACTATTTTATTTAATGTAACATTTCAGTATATTTTACCTTAATGTTACTTCTCCCTATTTTTTAGATATTAAGTTATCAAATATGCAGTGATTATTTGTTGACAGTTAATAAGCATGTAAACATATATCAGTATACCACATGAGTTTTTAATGAAGAAAAAGGAAAATAGTTTAAATAACTTCTTTTGTCTTCATTGTTTTTCTTATAAAGGACTCTTCCACTTTGTAAAAGAGCTCTCAAGATAGGGGATCCCCAGAGGATTCCACATGGTGTATAGGTTTATTCATGTGACTTTGAGCAAAAGATCCTTGTGATTTAATTCAATTTTATTCCTTTATATAGCTGGATGAATGCTAGAAGTCCAAACTCACTTTTTTAGTTTCATTTGACTCATTCAATGATAACCTTGAGCGGTGACCTGCACAGCTATGTGACAGGAATGCTTTTTGTAGGGTTACGATAACACATAAAAAGGAAACCTTTAAAATTTTCTATACAGAGGGACATCTAGACAGAGATACTCAAGATAGATAAAATGCCTTTAAAAAAAAAAGACTTTGAAACGCGATATATATGTTGTGTGTATACATATGTATGTATACACAAACAGACACACAAGAGAATATATTCTCTTGAAGTTCAGTGAGAAACTCAAAACCTTAAATACATTCATTTTTATATGGACTTTGTTTTAATATGGAAAAAAAGTGTCTCAAACATGTATATCAATTAGTTACTTTTACATAACCAGCTCTACTAAAACTCACAAGCATACAAGTATTTATTTAGCTCACATTTCTTTTTAATGGATAATCTGGCTGAGGCTCACCTGCTGCAGCTTGTCTCTGCACCAGGTAGCTTTCTTCTCCAACCTGGAACCAAGGCTTAGTCGAAACATATCACTTTCAGGGAAGAGGAAGGAACACAAGACACCAGGGAGCATGTACCAGGCCTCTTAAAGCCCAGACTTCAAACTGGCACACAATTCAGCCTGATTTTATTGACTAAACAGGTCACATGATATCATTCAAAGCCAAGGGCCAGGAAAACATACCCTATTCCTTAATGGAAGAAACTGAGAGGCCATACAGAAAAGAAAAACAAATGATGAAGGGGTAAAGAAGTGGGTTATAATGTGATTAACCACAGTAAGAGTTGTGCTCCATCAAATGAGAGATAAGACATGATTTAGTATGTCCAAAGGGTTTGCAGTCTACTTCAGTCAATAACAAATTGTTTCTGTAAAAAAAAAAAAAAAACAAAAAAAAAACTAATCATCGTTGCAAAAATGTGACTTTTGTTTTAAAGGGTTTTCAAAACTAAAAATAGATGTGGAAATCATGGATGAATACTATAATTAATAAGTAAGAACGAATTCCACCTTTATTGCTGAAT